CCGTCAGCGCCAAGAAGTCGAGGGACTGGAGGGTAGCATAGGCTGAGATGAACTCTGCCTTGTTGGCCGCAGAACGGCAGTTCCAGAAGCTGCCGGAGACCTGGAACTCCACGTGGGTCGTGCGTGCAGGGACCACCAGGTTAGAGAGGCAGCAGCCACGCGGTGTGAGGCGTTTGTATGGCCTGTGCGGAGAGGAGAGAACAGGGATAGACAGACACATAGTTGACAGGCTACAGAAAAGGCTACACTAATGCAAAGGAGATCGGAATGAAATGAACTAAACATCTGCGGAAGCGAGGCCTCCCTCACTAACCTTTCACTGAAACACTCAAATATAACTCTTCCAACTTCCACTTTAGAAATCTAACCAACTGAGTGGCCTTGTGGTTTGAGTGTCCGTCCTGAGATAGGAAGGTTGTGAGTTCGATCCAATGCTGAGTCATACCAAAGACTGTAAAAATATGTGACCCCAGGCGCGTCTCTGCTTGGAGATATATTGGGGTTAAGGCCCTGCGATAGACTAGCGTCCTGTCCAGGGTGTGTACTTCTACATCAAGCTGCCTCATGCTACAGAAACAGGAGATAGACTCCTGCTCCTATGAGCTGTACAAGGCTACCTAAAGGGAAATCTACCTCCTTTCAATGGAAATATGTTAGCTTATGGCAATGCACCAGATGATGGAATGCCATAGCTCTGTTCTGAGACCAGTGTCTTGGCAGGTGTTGTCCACGTGTTTCATGTGGTCTTTCTGGAGGTCTTTGCCGACGAGAGACTGCTGGCGGCAGTCTTGGTCAGCTAACAATTTAGTAGTAATAATTTAGTTTAAAGGGGGGCTGAACTTCCTGATTGACTTGTTTTTCGGCTTTGTCATTAGGAAATGTAGCGGCCATGACTGAGGCCAAACGAGAGTTGTCTTGGGAGGAGGGGGGGGGGGGGATGAGGGGTTAATCTCTTGTGTGTGTTCACGTGGCAAGTGTTTGTACATTCACTCAGCCAAAACAGTACACAGTTAGTCACTCACCCTTCTAGATAACTTGAAACAGTCTAACCAGGTCTTGAAGTCACCTAGGCCAGCTAGTGCTAGCCAACTTCTTTCGCCAATTAGCTTCAGTCGGCTGGTGTGCGACTATGGCAAAGTTGGTTTGACATTTGAAAGCCTATCTCTGGGGCTAGTTAGGGACCGTCAAATTACACAATGTGGGACAATATTTTCATGTTGCACACGATGGTGTTCTCCGTTTTGCTCTACGACCCCCACAAGTATCTCGGGACTTGTCTAAAGGTAACCCATATAAATGAATGGAAGTATGGAGGTAGTTTTGTGCCAACAAAAATAAGGGGTTATATATGTGTAAAAAAATATATTGGCAATGACACAGGTCAAATGTTTTCTGTAAGTCTTCACAAGGTTTTCACTCACTGTTGATGGTATTTTGGCCTATTCCTCCATGCAGATCTCCTCTAGAGCAGTGATGTTTTGGGGCTGTCGCTGGGCAACACAGACTTTCAGCTCCCTCCAAATATTTTCTATGGGGTTGAGATCTGGAGACTGGCTAGGCCACTCCAGGACCTTGAAATGCTTCTTACGAAGCCACTCCTTCGTTGCCCGGGCGGTGTGTTTGGGATCATTGTCATGCTGAAAGACCCAGCCACGTTTCATCTTCAATGCCCTGGCTGATGGAAGGAGGTTTTCACTCAAAATCTCACGATACATGGCCCCATTCATTCTTTCCTTTACACGGAATCAGTCGTCCTGGTCCCTTTGCAGAAAAACATACCCAAAGCATGATGTTTCCACCCCCATGCTTCACAGTAGGTATGGTGTTCTTTGGATGCAACTCAGCATTCTTTGTCCTCCAAACACGACGAGTTGAGTTTTTACCAAAAAGTTATATTTTGGTTTCATCTGACCATATGACATTCTCCCAATCCTCTTCTGGATCATCCAAATGCACTCTAGCAAACTTCAGATGGGCCTGGACATGTACTGGCTTAAGCAGGGGGACACGTCTGGCACTGCAGGATTTGAGTCCCTGGCGGCGTAGTGTGTTACTGATGGTAGGCTTTGTTACTTTGGTCCCAGCTCTCTGCAGGTCATTCACTAGGGCCCCCCGTGTGGTTCTGGGAATTTTGCTCACCGTTCTTGTGATCATTTTGACCCCACGGGGTGAGATCTTGCGTGGAGCCCCAGATCGAGGGAGATTATCAGTGGTCTTGTATGTCTTCCATTTCCTAATAATTGCTCCCACAGTTGATTTCTTCAAACCAAGCTGCTTACCTATTGCAGATTCAGTCTTCCCAGCCTGGTGCAGGTCTACAATTTTGTTTCTGGTGTCCTTTGACAGCTCTTTGGTCTTGGCCATAGTGGAGTTTGGAGTGTGACTGTTTGAGGTTGTGGACAGGTGTCTTTTATACTGATAACAAGTTCAAACAGGTGCCATTAATACAGGTAACGAGTGGAGGACAGAGGAGCCTCTTAAAGAAGAAGTTACAGGTCAATCTTGCTTGTTTGTAGGTGACCAAATACTTATTTTCCACCATAATTTGCAAATAAATTCATTAAAAATCCTACAATGTGATTTTCTGGATTTTTCTTTCTCAATTTGTCTGTCATAGTTGACGTGTACCTATGATGAAAATTACAGGCCTCTCTCATCTTTTTAAGTGGGAGTACTTGCACAATTGGTGGCTGACTAAATACTTTTTTCCCCCACTGTATTGTATATATTTCCTGAGCTTTCTTATATCTCCTATAGGACAGACACTTCAAAACCGATTAAAATTTTTGACTGTCTTTTTTGCCATCTATAGTAGTAAAGGCCAAATTCATATTATTTTTTAATGCCTAAAGGGGTCCTAAAATTCAAAATCAAATAGCTAAATGAAACAAATTAAAACAATTACATATGTCAGCCCCCAATGGCTTAGACTTTTAAGAATTAAGGCTTTTTTATTGAATAAAAGTAACATATTGAGTACACAGAAATATTTTCTTTCTGCTTTTCCTAAAAGTACACAAGTATAAAATTAGCAGACTGGTCTTTTTGAATTACTTGCACTTCAAACCACAAGTATAGTTAAAAAAAGGTACATAAACAAAAATTGAAAGCACAATGAAAGTACAGTATTATTGGAGAAAGTATTTTCCACAAAAGAGAAATCATACACATCTAACATTTTTTGTAGTTGCACATCTAACATACACTGACAATAAAAAATCCTATAATGTTCTAAAATGCCCTATAAAATTATTAATGTCAAGCAAGCCTTATATACAGTTTATTGTGCTACTATTTCAGATATTGTTGCAAGTAAGCAGAAGATCTGAGTATATAAACTAAACATTTAAAGGTGTAGTCATAAAATCATAGAAAAAACATTTAGAATATTCAAAATCATAAGCACGGCATTCAGCAAACTTAAAAGGATACAGTAGTATTAATAAAGCATGTAAACGATTAATGTATTTTGGCATCTTAGTAAAAAATAACTGTTGAAGTAAAGCAAGTGCTGGTTATGTCATGGACATACAATCAGTGTGTTACTGAAGTAAGCTCTTTGAACATACTGCTAAAAGGCACCCTGAATTAGTGAGAAGTACAGAGTAGTACTCAGTGAGTAAAGACAACTCAAAAACAAATAACTGGCAGGTCTCCACTGTGCACATATGATTTGTAGAATCAGTTAAATGTCCAGTATTTTAAAAACTGCACAGCAAACTGTACACATTCAATTACCAAAACAAAAAAGGGCTACAAATGTAGCCAAACTAGTAGACAAAAAGTATATATTGTACTTCAATCTGAAGTCCAGAGTACTTTAACGATGGTGAGGGATCTCTATGCACCATACTGGGGGTTATCAACCTCTGAAATTCACAGATTACAAAATATCAATTTAAGATGACATTAGGACAGTAAAACTCCCAGTCCAATCAAATATTGTTAAGTCTTGTAAACATTTTAATATATACAGTATAACAATGAAGTATAAAGTTATATAAAACATTCCAGTCCAGTGACTAAAAAATAGGTGTAAAATGTTTTTGTTTTGTTTTTGCACAGATAACCAATTTGGGTTTTCAGATGCCTTGGATGATGAGGTAATAATGTCCACTTATTTTTGGTGAAAGCACAAAAACAAACTTCCAGTTAAAAAATATGGATATCTTTGAACAGTAGCAGATGACAAATGTCAAAATGTCCAATATTGAGATGTGTTTACATGTCTTTGCATTGATTTTACAGTATATTTTTAAATATATTTGAATATATTTGGATATGGCTGAGAATGGATTCTTCTTCAGTCGCATTGGCATTTGGGAGAAGAACATGTATATTTCCCAACCCTGACTATGTTGACATCATGAAAATGAAACAAACATTTCTACTCATTCATAAAGAGATCTATATCAATTCTTAGATGAAATAATTTATATAAATCAGTGTGGCACCAAAATATGTTTGACCCCCAAAAAATTGTGATCACAACAAATCCAGTCAAAGACAACATAAGGGGAAGTCATTTGTTAAAAAAATAAAATAATAAAAGCAGTGTTTAAAACCTTAAAAACCCTAAAATAACACTTTGGCTACCAGGGGATAACAAGATGGTCTAACTTGGAATTGGCACTTCTGATTGACGATCAGTGGTACTTTCCATGTCACACTCAGCACAGCCGTTTGCTAACAGGGAAGGCTATAGGAGTCGGACCCTCAAATGATCCCCTATGGCAGGGCTGGTTTCGCTCAGTAGAAGCAGGTTTGGCTCCTTGATTGTAGGGTATTTTAGAGTATGTTGGATGAAAACACCTAGGCTGAACAGAGAGGGGTGAGAGCAGAATCACCATGTGTACTCGCCTAGTCTTGTGACCTCCTGCTCTTCCAGAAGGGGCGATCCCCTCCCCTCCCATTACCTACACAGCCTCATGTTTGGAGAAGGCCAAGGTGAGGTGTGGAACGGATAGAGTGATGGGTCAGGGAGGGAATTATTCACACGCAAAGTAGTCCTTCAGTGGGGCAAACAGGTGTCTGATGACGGGGACGCTCCAGGACCTGCCCAGCAGCTTCTGCCTGGCACCACGGCCCATGTTGGACACATCTGTGTAGTGGACTGGGAAGCCAAAGATCCTTGAGGAAACAGAGGATCAGAACATTGGTGTATCACAAGGTGTCTCACAAGGCTCAGTGTTAGGTCCATTACTGTTTAGTATTTACATGCTACCCCTTGGTCAGATCCTCCATCAATTTGAACTCAGATTTCACTGTTATGCAGATGACACACAAATCTACATCCACACAAAACACAACTTCACTCTGCCACCCCCCTGTGTTGTTGACTATCTCTGTGAAGTGAAACTTTTAAAACTAAATGACGACAAAACTCATGGGCCCCAAACTCCCTGATCAAGAAACTGGGTCAACTCAACATGGCAATCGACAGCTGCGCCATCCACTCCAACTCCACAGTCAGGAACCTTGGTGTTACATTTGACCCCACTCTGTCATTTGAACCCCACATCCGAAACATCACCAAGTCAGCCTTCTTCCACCTCAAAAACATCTCACGACTCAGACCCTCTCTCACTGACCCCAATGATGAAACCCTCATATACGCCTTTGTTTTCTCAGCCCTGTACTACTGCAACGCCATTCTTTACGGACTCACCGCCAAAACACTGGACAGACTTTAACATATTCAAAATTCAGCTGCACGAATCCTCACACACACCAGACCTTGGGGACCACATCACTCCCACTGGCTCCCAGTTCAATACAGGATCATCTTCAAATTGCTCATGCTCACCTACAAAGCACTCAATGGACTGGCCCCCACATACCTTACTGACCTCCTGCACCCCTATACTCCCACCTGTTCACACCAAAGACACACCTCTTCACACAGGCTTACCCGGATTCTCTGTTGTCTTAGCTTTCATCCTCTGTCTAGTTCACTTCCCTGGTTAGTCTGTCATCATGTTTAGTGTTCTCCATGGTTAGTCTGTCCTTAATGTTTAGTGTACTTTTATATGCTTATTTAATATGTGATTTTATTGCTATTTATCCTGCTGATTGTCTTGTGTATGTAAAGCGACTTTGTGTGTCGTGGAAAATGCTTAAAATAAAATGTATTATTATTATTAAAATGGCATCAGAAGGCATTGTGGGCAGAGCTGGTTCTTCTTCATTAGTGCACACAGTAGCAAAACATTTTGCACAGAAAACAAAAACGAGCTTTGCACAAGTTCTGGTAGTCCCTCCCTGTTTCAGTCTGTTTTCTTTTGTTTGGAGCCTAGTGAATATGACCCAGGAATGTGATTTGCCATTGTTTTTTAACAGAGGTACCACAGAGTTAGAAAAGGTATAGGGCGCACTTGGGACAAATGAGTCCCAAGAGAGTGGCACAGTCAGATTAGAGTTGTGGGTCTAGGTCTCACCTCTCCAGCTCGGTGCACCACAGGATGTCCTCTTTGCCATTCATCATGACAGGGAAGTGCTGGTCTTTGCCTTGCTTGATGGAGTTAGAGCGCGTGGTGATGGTGCGCACCTTTCCAAACTACAGGACAAAGAAAATGCACACTCATATTAATACAATATATATAAATATACAGTACCAGTCAAAAGTTTTGACACACCTACTCATTCAAGGGTTTTTCTTTATTTTTACTACATTGTAGAATAATAGTGAAGACATCAAAACTATGAAATAACACATACGGAATCATGTAGTAACCAAAAAAGTGTTCAACAAACCTAAATATATTTTATATTTGAGATTCTTCAAAGTAGCCACCCTTTGCCTTGATGACAGCTTTGCACACTATTGGCATTCTCTCAACCAGCTTCACCTGGAATGCTTTTACAACAGTCTTGAAGGAGTTCCCACATATGCTGAGCACTTGTTGGCTGCTTTTCCTTCACTCTGCGGTCCAACTCATCCCAAACCATCTCAATTGGGTTGAGGTCGGGTGATTGTGGAGGCCAGGTCATCTGATGCAGCACTCCATCACTCTCCTTCTTGGTAAAATAGCCCTTACACAGCCTGGAGGTGTGTTGGGTCATTGTCCTGTTGAAAAACAAATGATAGTCCCACTAAGCGCAAACCAGATGGGATGGCGTATCGCTGCAGAATGCTGTGGTAGCCATGCTGGTTAAGTGTGCCTTGAATTCTAAACAAATCAATGACAGTGTCACCAGCAAAGCACGCCCACACCATAACACCTCCTCCTCCATGCTTTACGGTGGGAAATACACATGCGGAGATCATCCGTTCACCCACACCGCGTCTCACAAAGACACGGCGGTTGGAACCAAAAATCTCAAATTTGGACTCCAGACCAAAGGACACATTTCCACCGGTCTAATGTCCATTGCTCATGTTTCTTGGCCCAAGCAAGTCTCTTCTTCTTATTGGTGTCCTTTAGTAGTGGTTTCTTTGCAGCAATTCGACCATGAAGGCCTGATTCACAAAGTCTCCTCTGAACAGTTGATGTTGAGATGTGTCTGTGACTTGAACTCTGTGAAGCATTTATTTGGGCTGCAATTTCTGAGGCTGGTAACTCTAATGAACTTATCCTCTGCAGCAGAGGTAACTCTGGGTCTTCCATTCCTGTGGCGGTCCTCATGAGAGCCAGTTTCATCATAGCGCTTGATGGTTTTTGCGACTGCACTTGAAAAATGTAAATTTAAGAAAGTTTAAAAGTTCTTGAAATTTTCCGGATTGACTGACCTTCATGTCTTAAAGTAATGATGGACTGTCGTTTCTCTTTGCTTATTTGAGCTGTTCTTGCCATAATATGGACTTGGTCTTTTACCAAATAGGGCTATCTTCTGTATACACCCCCTACCTTGTCACAACACAACTGATTGGCTCAAACGCATTAAGATGGAAAGAAATTCCACAAATTAACTTTTAGGAAGGCACACCTGTTAATTGTAATGCATTCCAGGTGACTACCTCATGAAGCTGGTTGAGAGAATGCCAAGAGTGTGCAAAGCTGTCATCAAGGCAAAGGGTGGCTACTTTGAAGAATCTCAAATATAAAATAGATTTAGGTTACTATATGATTCCATATGTGTTATTTCATAATTTTGATATCTTCACTATTATTCTACAATGTAGAAAATAGTAAAAAATAAAGAAAAACCCTTGAATGAGTAGGTGTGTCTAAACTTTTGACTGGTACAGTATATATATGTAAAACAGAGAGAGCCACAGAGGGACTGTTTTTATTCTCCTCTGTACTGTACAATATGTGGATCTATGTTTTTTTGTGGCATATATTGAAATATATCTTGAAATATAGTGAAATATATATTGAAATAAAATCACTTAGTGATTCCTGTCCAGTTCCACTGAATGAAGGCGAGATAGATAGTGTTACCTTAGCCACACGGCCATGTTCCAGACAGTCCTGTAGCTCTAGCTTGTCCATCCCAGATGCACACCGAGGCCTGACACAAGAATGGGAATTAGAAATGGAATCCTCCAAGAGATCCATAAAGTGAAGTAAATTGGCTAGCACTTTATTTTACTGTACGTTTTCCACTAGTTTTCCACTAGTAGCAATGTGTACTTTCTAGCATTTACTTATCAAACACAACTGCCAACTATCAAATGGTGTCAAGTGGTGCGTTTCATGAATCCCAAATGAACAAACAAGTAAAAGTAATTAAAAGGTTATTACTGTGTAATTACCATTACATTTTACCATGCAATTTGGTCATTCTTGTATTGTAAAATAACAAAAGGAATATGAAAGATTGTGTTAGTATAGAAAAACACGTACACTGTGGGCATCACACACCTGTTCATCCCTGGTAGGTTGCCCCAGAAGTACCTAGCTCTGTGAGCCGCAGACACATCAATGGCATTGATCATTACTGGATTGCACTGTAGGACACACACACACAAACACACACACACACAGGTTGGTGTTTCATTTAACATACCACTGCTACCGTGGGTTACACATTTTCACTCCTTGTGTTATGTTGTGAGTCAGTAACAATACATAAAGACTAAGTAGACTAGACAACTTCTCAAACTATCTCATGAGGTAATGCTAAAGACCTCTAAGATTGTCACTTGTATTGAGCCGTTGACATTGAATTGATATTGTGGATATAACAAACCTCGAGGAAACGGGAGATGTCTCTCTTATCGTTGACGCCCATGGCAACCACATTCTCGAACATCCAGAAGAAGGGGCGGTCCTCGCCCTCCTTGGGCTTGGCTTCACTCAGCAGGCGGTAGAACTCAAAGAACAACCTCCCTGTGCCCTCTAGACAGACAGACGGAGGATAATAATAATAATAATATGCCATTTAGCAGACACTTTTATCCAAAGCGACTTACAGTCATGCGTGCATACATTTTTGTGTATGGGTGGTCCCGGGGATTGAACGTTACAAGCGCCGTGCTCTACCAGCTGAGCTACAGAGGACCACAGGATGAGGAGAACACGCTAGGAGATTCCTACTACAGTCCAATGTAAACTGAATAATAATATACATCAATTGCAATTAGGGCTGGGTGATATGGCCAAAATATCATATCACAGTATACATTTTTTGTTTGGACTGTATTTTATGTTTTTGAATAATAAAAGTTATACATTTTCTTTATGAGTAGTGCGTGACCCTAGGGTGGCAACACATACGTTCTAAGTGATTCCAATTGGTCTCCATTCTGATTGTTTTATACTGTTCAATTCAACTTAAACCAAAAATACATTTCTGCATTTCCTGCACTCATTTGAGATCATTTCCACATTGCCACATAGGGCTGCACGATATGGGCAAAACAACTTTAGGCCTTATATTTTACCAAATGTTGCAATTGCGATTTGACTTGTGATTTAGATCAAAACACATGGGTGAACTGGTGGAATGATGGAAAAATAATGATTATTAGAATTCTATAGTTAAAAGATAATAGTGGGCACTTTGAATACAGTGTTATTTGACATGACATCTAATGAAAATGGCAGGGAGCAGTTATTGTGATAGGGTAGGAACCAAAGTGTTGGTCAGCGTTTCCTAGCCGACACTATAATCTTTGGCTACATTAAATGACTTCTCTTAGCTACTTCATGTAGCTAACATATTCATGCTATCATATTAATGCTAACTAGCAATTAGCATTACCGGCTAACACGACTTAAACACAACTTGCTAAGAAAAGACAAACTAGCTGTTTGCAGATGTAAGAAACACAAAATAATAGTGTAATTATAGAACGCTTGTGGATTCATATTAAGAAGCAAAGTGGAAACAGCATCATAGTTATCAACATTGTTGCATGTGCTGCTTTGACCATGCAGACTGAACGCAAGTGTCTCGTGGTCGAGCAACAACAAATGCGCTCCTTAAGTGACGGGGCGGGACTAGGTCTGTGTGGAAAACAGCATGGAGAGAGAGAGCAGAGAGAGATGACTCAAGTAGCGGAGTAAACTATAAAAATGGACGATACACACGGCATATCACATCTAACAAACCAAACATTCAAATACCGTTATAGAAGGTAAAGTAAAAACCCAAACCGGTCCGTGCATCAATACCGGTAAATAGTAAAATATGGTATACTGGCCAGCCCTAATTCCAATTATACATCTGCCATTATGAGTTTCAAATATCCCTCTGATTCTTATACCTTACACGTTGCCCTAGACGTTTAGAGGTACAAGTCTATAATGTACATGTAAGAGGGAATGTATATAAATTATATTTCATAAGAAATACTTCACTGGAATTTTAGCCTGTAACACTTGGCATGGATTTTAAAGTGTAATTAGAGTGAAGTGAAGCATGCTTATTAATACATTTAATGAAGTTTGATTAATTTTTTTTATTTTGATTAGGTTTCTTACCGTACAGTCCCTTCCTGGCGGGGTTGACAATAGACAGGTCGTTACAGGGGCTTCCTCCGATCACCAGGTCAAATGGGCCCCACTCTTCTATCTGTGTGAGACAACCGCACCACCTACTGTCAGACTGAGTGTAACACACGCCCCAACATCTGTACCCATCTGCCTTTTCTCATTCCCAATCCCACCTATCCTATCCCAACATAGTGTCACCCCCTCCCCCCGACACCCCATCCATATTGCCCAACACCCTCAACACAGGGTAGTACAGTGCCTTCAGAAAGTATTCATACCCCTTGACTTACTGCACATTTTGTTGTATTACAGCCTGAATTCAAAATTTATTAAAACATTTATTTTTCTCACTCATCTACACAAACTACACCATAATGATTTTTAGAAATGTTAGCAAATGTATTGAAAATGAAATAAATAAATATCTCATTTACATAAGTATTCACAACCCTGAGTCAATACATGTTTGAATCACCTTTGGCTGCGATTACAGCTGTTAGTCTTTCTGGGTAAGTCTCTAAGAGCTTTGCACACCTGGATTGTACAATATTTGCACATTATTATATTTACAATTCTTCAAGCTATGTCAAATTAGTTGTTCATCATTGCTAGACAGCCATTTTCAAGTCTTGCCATATATTTTCAAGCCTATTTAAGTCAAAACTATAACTAGGCCACTCAGGTACATTCAATGTCGTCTTGGTAAGCAACTCCAGTGTATATTTGGCCTTGTGTTTTAGGTTATTGTCCTGCTGAAACGTGAATTTGTCTTCCAGGTGAAAGCAGACTGAACCATGTTTTCCTCTAGGATTTTGCCTATGCTTAGCTCTATTCCGTTTCTTTTTATCCTAAAAAACTCCCTTGTCCTTGACGATGACAAGCATATCCATAACATGATGCAGCCAACACCATGCTTGAAAATATGAAGAGTGGTACTTAGTGATGTGCTGTGTTGTATTTGCCCCAAACATAACGCTTTGTATTCAGGATATAAAGTTAATTTCTTTGCCACATTTTTGCAGTTGTACTTTAGTGCCTTATTGCAAACAGGATGTATGTTTTGGAATATTTTATTCTATACAGTCTTCCTTTTCTTTTCACTCTGTCATTTAGGTTAGTATTGTGGAGCAACAACAATGTTGTGGATCCATCCTCAGTTTTCTCCTATCTCTGTAAGCTCCTTAAACTCTGTAACTGTTTTAAAGTCACCTTTGGCCTCATGGTGAAATCCCCCATACCTTCCTCTCTGGCAACTCAGTTAGGAAGGACGCCTGTATCTTTGTAGTGACTGGGTGTATTCATACACCATCCAAAGTGTAAATAATAACTTCACCATGCTCAAAGGAATATTCAATGTCTGCTTTTTTTTAACCAATCTACCAATAGGTGCCCTTCTTTGCGAGGCATTGGAAAATCTCCCTGTTCTTTGTGGTTAAATCTGTGTTTGAAATTCACTGCTCCACTGAGGGATCTTACAGATAATTGTATGTGTGGGGTACAGAAATCAGGTAGTCATTCAAAAGTCATGTTAAACACAATTATTGCACACAGTGAGTCCATGTTTTTTCCCCTCATCAATCTACACACAATATCCCATTATAAGAAAGCAAAAACAAGTTTTTAGAAATGTTTGCAAATGTAAAAATAAATAAATAAATAAATATCACATTTACATACAGTATGCGACTTGTTAAGCAAATGTACACTCCTGAACTTATTTAGGCTTGTCATAACAAAGGGGTTGAATACTTATTGACTCAAGACATTTCAGCTTTTCATATTTAATTTGCAAAAATGTCTAAAAACATAATTCCACTTCGACATTATGGGGTATTGTGTGTAGGCCTGTAACACAACAAATGTGGAGAAGGTCAAGGAGTGTGAATATTTTCTGAAGGCACTGACCCATACAGACCGCCCCCCCCCCCCCCCCCCCCACACACACACACACACACACACACACTTCCCTACAGAACACCCCACTCCTCCCCAGCTCTACATAGGGGCCTTTTCATCTGTGACAAAGGCCTTGGATAGTGAGAGAGAGGGTGTAGGTTCCCCAAGCAGGGCCAGAGCAGACCCTCCCCGGGCCCCTCTTTGAGGAGTGCTCTGAGTCGCTGACAAAGGGGTGAATGGGTTCTGGGGGATTTACTCTGACAAGAGGCTGTGCTTTGTCCTCTAAACCAGATGACGTCACGGACTCGCATGCAACCCGGCAGCACACCCCTCTCTGCAGCTGTGGTGGAGCTATGTGTTTAGGTTCGACTTGGGAGTAGAGGGGGAGTTGTGTTTTGTTATGAACAGAGATGAAAGCTGGGTGGATCAAGGTTGTGTGTGTGGTTAATGTTGTCTGTTGCTGTGTGTGTTTGCATGTTTGTGCTCTTGTGTTGAAGCTCTCAAAAGAGCCCTCGCGAGCCCATGAGTCTGTATATGTTTCATTGTGGATCCACATAATGTAGGTCAGGGGGGCATTCACTAAAAGGTGAGGCTCATTAGGCTACAATAAGGTACTACTGTCCTGTCTGGACAGGCAATGGCCCACAGAACAAACCATTAACAGGTGTGTGGTATGAATGTGTGCAATTGTTTGATTTTCCAAGACACTGACGAGGACTACTCCTTATGACCAGTGTTGAGGGTTATGTGTTACAAAAGAAACACTTTACGTAATCAGATTGTACTTTTATGAGTAATGGAGTAAAGTAACATATAACTTTTTTCAAATTGGGTAATATTATTACAATAACTCTACCTGCCACGTGTTTTCATAATCCAATGTTCTGTATTGTTTAAAAAATTGTACCAACAATTTTTTTTATAGAGGGCACAGCGCTGATCTTTGCCATTGATTGCTTCTGTGATAGCAAAGCCCATAGAGGGCTTCCTGTACAGTGGCACGTGTGCCCTCTATACATCTCTATGGGTCCGTGGACGGGCGGTCTATAACCAGACCTGGCGGCTCGAGATAAAGATTTTGAATGAAAAGATAGGAAATCTGTCCAGATATTTGGCTTACAGTATATACAGTGAGGGAAAAAAGTATTTGATCCCCTGCTGATTTTTTACGTTTGCCCACTGACAAAGACATGATCAGTCTATAATTTTAATGGTAGGTTTATTGTGAGAGACAGAATAACAACAACAAAAATCCAGAAAAACGCATGTCAAAAATGTTATGAATTGATTTGCATTTTCATGAGGGAAATAAGTATTTGACCCCTCTGCAAAACATGACTTAGTACTTGGTGGCAAAACCCTTGTTGGCAATCACAGAGGTCAGACGTTTCTTGTAGTTGGCCACCAGGTTTGCACATATTTCAGGAGGGATTTTGTCCCACTCCTCTTTGCAGATCTTCTCCAAGTCATTAAGGTTTCGAGGCTGACGTTTGGGAACTCAAACCTTCAGCTCCCTCCACAGATTTTCTATGGGATTAAGGTCTGGAGACTGGCTAGGCCACTCCAGGACCTTAATGTTCTTCTTCTTGAGCCACTCCTTTGTTGCCTTGGCCGTGTGTTTTGGGTCATTGTCATGCTGGAATACCCATACACGACCCATTTTCAATGCCCTCACCCAAGATTTGACGTTACATGGCCCCGTCCATTGTCCCTTTGATGCGGTGAAGTTGTCCTGTCCTCTTAGCAGAAAAACACCCCCAAAGCATAATGTTTCCACCTCCATGTTTGACGGTGGGGATGGTGTTCTTGGGGTTATAGGCAGAATTCCTCCTCCTCCAAACACGGCCAGTTGTGTTGATGCCAAAGAGCTCGATTTTGGTCTCATCTGACCACAACACTTTCACCCAGTTCTCCTCTGAATCATTCTGATGTTCATTGGCAAACTTCAGACGGGCCTGTATATGTGCTTTCTTGAGCAGAGGGACCTTGCGGGCGCTGCAGGATTTCAGTCCTTCACAGCATAGTGTGTTACCAATTGTTTTCTTGGTGACTATGTTCCCAGCTGCCTTGAGATCATTGACAAGATCCTCCCGTGTAGTTCTGGGCTGATTCCTCACCGTTCTCATGATCATTGCAACTCCACGAGGTGAGATCTTGCATGGAGCCCCAGGCCGAGGGAGATTTACAGTTATTTTGTGTTTCTTCCATTTGCGAATAATCGCACCAACTGTTGTCACCTTCTCACCAAGCTGCTTGGCGATGGTCTTGTAGCCCATTCCAGCCTTGTGTAGGTCTACAATCTTGTCCCTGACATCCTTGGAGAGCTCTTTGGTCTTGGCCATGGTGGAGAATTTGGAATCTGATTGATTGATTGCTTCTGTGGACAGGTGTCTTTTATACAGGTAACAAGCTGAGATTAGGAGCACTCCCTTTAAGAGTGTGCTCCTAATCTCAGCTCGTTACCTGTATAAAAGACACCTGGGAGCCAGAAATCTTTCTGATTGAGAGGGGGTCAAATACTTATTTCCCTCATTAAAATGCAAATCAATTTATAACATTTTTGACATGCGTTTTTCTGGATATTTTTGTTGTTATTCTGTCTCTCACTGTTCAAATAAACCTACCATTAAAATTATAGACTGATCATTTCTTTGTCAGTGGGCAAACATACAAAATCAGCAGGGGATCAAATACTTTTTTCCCTCACTGTATGGCTAATTAAGCAGCCCATATGATAGCGCATCACTTGTAGACTAGTGCAGGAAAGCAGCGCCACCAATGAAAGGAGAAAGTGATCAAACCTGAGTTAGAAAGTAGCCTATCTTTGGTAGAGCGCGAGGCTCACCTTGCTCCCTCTGACAGTCAAGCAAACAGGGAGATTGAGATTTTTTTCATGAAAGTAACGCAAAGTAATATAATGTATTACTTTCCACACTAAGTAATATTGTAAAGTAAAATGTTACTTTTGTTAAATATAACGATATTTCGTCATATGTTTAGGAGAAGGAAAAGAAGCACCTGCTTTACACAACAAGATAATGAGTCTGTCACGCCCTGGCTCTGGGGACGCTTGTATGTTGAGCCAGGGTGTGAGTGTTCTTTGTGTTGTTCTAGTTTTGTGTTTCTAGGGTGTGGTTCTAGTTATTGTGTTTCTATGTTGGCCAGAGTGGTTCTCAATCAGAGGCAACGAGTGTCAGCTGTTGCTGGTTGTCTCTGATTGGGAACCATATTTAAACAGTCTGTTTTTCCACAGTGTTTGTGGGATCTTGTTCCTGTGTAGGTTTGTGGTTTGCACCTTTGGACGTCATGTATCGATTTGTTGTTTTGTTCGTGTAATCATTTAAATAAATAAGTATGTTCACCTTCCACGCTGCGCCTTGGTCCTCGGTATCCGACGATCGTGACAGAGTCATTGGGGAATGGATTGGATCTTTACTTTAGAGGCAAACCTAGTACTCTACCCTCTCTCACCCCTCCCTCTATATGATTTAACTCAGATTCAATTTGTTCTACCCACCCATATGTAAAGAATGTGAAGAGAGAGAGATTTGATCTGCTTACATTCTTCCTGGAGATGTTGCGAACGTCGTGCACATACTGGATTCTTCCTTCATGTCGGACGACGCCCACCGATATGGAATCTTCACACACCTCTGACGCAATATAATGGTCCACTTTGAATCCTAGGTCTCGTAGCACTAAGTAGCCTAAACACACGCACACACAGGTAAACATACAGTACTAGTCAAAAGTTTGGACACACCTACTCATTCAAGGGTATTTCTTAATTTTTTACTATTTTCTACATTGTAGAATAATAGTGAAGACATCAAAACTATGAAATAACACATATGGAATCATGTAGTAACCAAAATAGTGTTCAACAAATCAAAATATATTTTAGATTTTAGATTCTTCAAAGTAGCCACCCTTTGCCTTGATGACAGCTTTGCACACTCTTGGCATTCTCTCAGCCAGCTTCATGAAGAATGCTTTTCCAACAGTCTTCAAAGAGTTCCCACAGCACTTGTTGGCTGCTTTTCCTTCACTCTGTGGTCCAACTCATCCCAAACCATCTCAATTGGGTTGAGGTCGGGTGATTGTGGAGGCCAGGTCATTTGATGCAGCACTCCATCACTCTCCTTCTTGGTAAAATAGCCCTTACACAGCCTGGAGGTGTGTTGGGTTATTGTCCTGTTGAAAAACAAATGATAGTCCCACTAAGCCCAAACCAGATGGGATAGCGTATCGCTGCAGAATGCTGTGGTAGCCATGCTGGTTAAGTGCGCCTTGAATTCTAAATAACTCACTGACAGTGTCACCAGCAAAGCACCCCCACACCATCACACCTCCTCCTCCATGCTTCACAGCGGGAACCACACATGCGGAGATAAACCATTCACCTACTCTGCGTCTCACAAAGACACGGAGGTTGGAACCAAAAATCTCAAATATGAACTCAACAGACCAAAGGACAGATTTCCACCGGTCTAATGTCCATTGCTCGTGTTTCTTGGGCCAAGCAAGTCTCTTCTTCTTATTGGTGTTCTTTAGTAGTGGTTTCTTTGCAGCAATTCGACCATGAAGGCCTGATTCACACAGTCTCCTCTGAACAGTTGATGTTGAGATGTGTCTGTTACTTGAACTCTGTGAAGCATTTATTTGGGTTGCAATCTGAGGTGCAGTTAACTCTAATGAACTTATCCTCTGCAGCAGAGGTAACTCTGGGTCTTCCATTCCTGTGACGGTCCTCATGAGAGCCAGTTTCATCATAGCGCTTGATGGTTTTTGCGACTGCACTTGAAGAAACGTTCAAAGTTCTTGAAATTTTCCGGAGTGACTGACTTTCATGTCTTAAAGTAATGATGGACTGTCGTTTCTCTTTGCTTATTTGAGCTGTTCTTGCCATAATATGGACTTGGTCTTTTACCAAATCTTCTGTCATGTCACAACACAACTGATTGGCTCAAACGCATTAAGAAGGAAAGAAATTCCACAAATTAATTTTTAACAAGGCACACCTGTTAATTGAAATGCATTCCAGGTGACTACCTCATGAAGCTGGTTGAGAGAATGCCAAGAAGCTGCCATCAAGGCAAAGGGTATCTACTTTGAAGAATCTCAAATACAAAATATATTTTGATTTGTTTAACAATTGTTTGGTTACTACATGATTCCATATGTGTTATTTCATAGTTTTGATGTCTTCACTATTTTTCTACAATGTAGAAAATAGTATAAAATAAAGAAAACCCCTTGAATGAGTAGGTGTGTCCAAACTTTTGACTGGTACTGTATGTCAAGATATTTTTTTGCGGGTTCTGAATATTACACTTGAGTAATGCATTGACACCTATACGCACGCGCACACACACTTACCAGTGGCGATGCCATCGAACAGTGACAGCACACGGATGGGGCGCCTCTGTTCTGCAGGTACAGCCCGGTAGATCTTTGGGCTTTCCTGAGAAACATATAGACCAAATCAAAATGTTTATATAAACAAACACAAATACTGTATGTACTGTAGTAATGTTGCTATGAGTGGGACCCTGAAGTTTTCCTGACCCTATGACCTGACCAAGACGATCGGCAGGCCCTAGATACTGTATGAGCTAAGTTAGTTTGGCCTCAGTAGTGGGACAAGGGTCAATGTGAGGAGTTAACTAAAGTATCTTGATGGGACTCACAAACTCCCGGCCATTGTCGTTGACGAAGAACTCCTGCAGCTTCATGCTCCAGTCGTGGCGTCGTTTGAGCACGCCGTAGGTCTGCAGGGGCTGGCACATGAAGCAGCGCCACGGGTCCAGGTTACGGGCACTGTTCGACGCCCCTGCGCCCACCAGAATGTCCAGACAGTCTACACAGAAACACCTGCAGGGGGAGGAGACAGACGGGGGAGACGGGTGTGATAAGGTTGAGGGGGGAGAAGGGGAGATGGACGAGTAGGGGAGGGGAGAGGGAGAGAGGGAAGGGAGAGGGAGAGGGGGGATGGAAGGGAGAGGGAGAGAGGGATATGGGGGAGGGAGTGGGAGAAGAGGAGGGTGGGAGTGGGAAAGGGGGAAGGAAGGCAGGGAGGGAGGGATATGCGGGGGAAGGGGATAGAGCGATATGGAGGGGAGGGGAGAGAGATATGGAGGGGAGGGGAGAGAGATATGGGGGAGGGGAGAGAGATATGGGGAGGGAGAGAGAGAGATACAGGGGAGGGCTAAATAGAGATATGGGTCCCATTATGTCTGGCAAAAACCAAACACTACATTCTGTGTAGAAAATATGTAAAAATAAAAAAAAACAGAAAGGGGACAAATACTTTTTCACAGCACTGTACATCTAATCAACAGCTGAGAGAGAAAGGAGAGTGAAAGAAAAAGTATAAGCTGACTGAAAAGGCAGAATGTAAAAGATGGTTGAAATGAACTAAGATACAGTGCCTTGCAAAAATATTCATCACCCTTTGCGTTTTTCCTATTTTGTTGCATTACAACCTGTAATTTAAATTGATTTTTTTTTGGATTTCATGTAATGGACATACACAAAATAGTCCAAATTGGTGAAGTGAAATGAAAAAAATAACTTGTTTCAAAAGATTCAAAAAAAATTAATAACGGAAAAGTGGTGCGTGCATATGTATTCACCCCCTTTGCTATGAAGCCCCTAAATAAGATTTGGTGTAACCAATTACCATCAGAAGTCACATAATTAGTTAAATAAAGTCCACCTGTGTGCAATCTCAGTGTCACATTATCTCAGTATATATACACCTGTTCTGAAAGGCCCCAGAGTCTGCAACACCACTAAGCAAGGGGCACCACCAAGCAAGCGGCACCATGAAGACCAAGAAGCTCTCCAAACAGGTCAGGGACAAAGTTGTGGAGAAGTACAGATCAGGGTTGGGTTATAAAAAAATATCAGAAACTTTGAACATCCCATGGAGCACCATTAAATCCATTATTAAAAATGGAAAGAATATGGCACCACAACAAACCTGCCAAGAGAGGGCCGCCCACCAAAACTCACGGACCAGGCAAGGAGGGCATTAATCAGAGAGGCAACAAAGAGACCAAACATAACCCTGAAGGAGCTGCAAAGCTCCACAGCGGAGATTGGAGTATCTGTCCATAGGACCACTTTAAGCCGTACACTCCACAGAGCTGGGCTTTATAGAAGAGTGGCCAGAAAAAAGCCATTGCTTAAAGAAGAAAATAAGCAAACACGTTTGGTGTTCGCCAAAAGACATGTGGGAGACTCCCCAAACATATGGAAGAAGGTACTCTTGTCAGATGAGACTAAAATTGAGCTTTTTGGCCATCAAGGAAAACGCTATGTCTGGCGCAAACCCAACACCTCTCATTACCCCGAGAACACCATCCCCACAGTGAAGCATGGTGGTGGCAGCATCATGTTGTGGGGATGTTTTTCATCGTCAGGGACTGGGAAACTGGTCAGAATTGAAGGAATGATGGATGGCGCTAAATACAGGGAAATTCTTGAGGGAAACCTGTTTCAGTCTTCCAGAGATTTGAGATTGGGATGGAGGTTCACCTTCCAGCAACACTCAAGTGGTTTAAGAGGAAACATTTAAATATATTGGAATGGCCTAGTCAAAGCCCAGACCTCAATCCAATTGAGAATCTGTGGTATGACTTAAAGATTGCTGTACACCAGCAGAACCCATCCAACTTGAAGGAGCTGGAGCAGTTTTGCCTTGAAGAATGGGCAAAAAACCCAGTGGCTAGATGTGCCAAGCTTATAGAGATATACCCCAAGAGACTTGTAGCTGTAATTGCTGCAAAAGGTGGCTCTTCAAAGTATTGACTTTGGGGGGGGTGAATAGTTATGCATGCTCAAGTTCTGTTTTTTTTGTCTTATTTCTTGTTTGTTTCACAATAAAAAATATTTTGCATCTTCAAAGTGGTAGGCATGTTGTGTAAATCAAATGATACAAACCCCACAAAAAAATCCATTTTAATTCCAGGTTGTAAGGCAACAAAATAGGAAAAATGCCAAGAGGGTGAATACTTTTGCAAGCCACTGTACAGTTTTTTACAGTTAAGACACAGAATATTACACTTAAGATACAGTATAGATACAGTCCGCGTCCCAAATGGCACCCTATTCCCGATACAGTGCACTACTTTTGACCAGAGGCCATTAAGTAGTACACTGCACTTTTAGAATACATTTTTTTTTCTAAGAATGTATAAAGGGAGAAGGGTGCCATTTGGGACACACTCATAGTAGATTACAGAGATACGGTTAACGAGGTGAGTGTTGAGTCCCACCTGCAGCAGTTGGCGTTCCCACACAGTAGCACCTCGCGGCCCCCGCAGCACACCGTGCAGTACGATTGGTAGCCATCGTCATCATACATGTAGGATATCTCCAGATACACGTCCTAACACACACACGCAGGCACACCCACAAACAAGCACACACACACACACATACAAAGATAAACAACACTCATTAACAACAATATCTAGATGCCAGTGTTTATTGATAGAACAAAATATCACATTTCTTGACACCAGGATCTTTAACCAGTTGGTGCATGTCTGGTGAGGCAGGAAATCAAACAAGACTGTGAATACAAAGATACAGCCAGTACGTCACTTCCTGTTGAACACGGAACGAGGAAGAGCTCGGAATTGTTGTTTTGAAAAGTTTGTTGTTTTGAAATTATACTGGGAAGTTCTTAGTAGCTAGCTAACTTTTTAGTTTGGATCCCGCGACACAGTTGGCATCAGTTGCTGGGACTGCTAGTCTCTGTCCAGTGATCCTGCCAACCAAGGACGGGTCTGAGGAGCTATTTGGCGTTGCAGCTAGCCTAGCTGCTAGCTAGCAGCATATCAAGCTAGCAGGGTTTTCTTGAGGGCTTGAACGCAGCCCGTGACGCGGTTAGCCATTTTGGCTGGGACTGCGGATTGTCCCGGGTTTGTGGCGGTCTAGATCCCTGCTGTTTGTTGTTTTCAATCTTCCCTGTGACCTGCCCTGTCTGGAAATGTGAGGAGTAACAGCGTAACCTACGTTGCTAGCTACCATGACAAAGACCAAAGCTGGCGGGAGTACCGTTGTCGAGGACAGTGATGTCTCTCTATCAGACGTGAAGGATCTTTTAAATGAACAAAAATAGTTCTACAAGCAGTTGTTACAACAACAAGAAAATAGCTTCAAGTGTTTTGTCCAAATACTGATAAAAGAATGGACGACCTGACCAGAGAGGTCCAGGACCTAAAGAACAGTTTGCAGTTCTCCCAGGGTCAGCTTGATGAGTTGAAACAGGAGAACGGCAAGATGACAGCAATCTGTAAGTCATTGAGAGAGGAGATCAGTTCTGTGTGTGAATCCATGATAACAATGACGGATAAATCTCGAGGGCCAATCAAGGCAGAACAACATGGTTGTGGACGGAATTGCAGAATCTTTACATGAGACCTGGACGGAGTCTGAGGACAAAGTGAGGGAAATGATCTCTGAGAAACTGAAGACCACAGGAAGATTGAGGTGGAGCACGCCCACAGGACTGGAAAACCCACCACCGGCCCAGATGACAGGCCCAGGCCGATAGTGGTCAAGTTCCTGAGGTTCAAGGACAAGGTAGCTGTTCTGGAAAGAGCCAAGAACTTGAGAGGAACGTATATCTTCCTCAACGAGGACTATCCTGAAGCTGTGCGCCAGAAGACAAAATAACTTATCCCAGCCATGAAATCTGCCAGAGCGCGTGGGGACATTGCTTACATCCACTATGACAGGCTCATTGTCCACCCTCCCTCTCAGAAGCCTGGAAGGGATGAGAGAGCCAAGCCTATGGGTTCGTAGCTTCAATCTCTGATAAGCTACCCAGGAAAGGGCTGAAAATAGCCCATATTAATATACGTAGCCTTAGAAATAAGGTTCATGAAATCAATAACTTGCTAACATCAGATAACATCAATATATTAGCCATTTCTGAGACTCACTTAGATAATTATTTTGATGATACAGCAGTAGCAATACAATAATATAACATCTATAGAAGAGACAGAAGGGGGAGGTGTTGCTGTATATATTCAGAGACATATCCCTGTAATGCTTAGAGAAGATCTTATGTCAAGTGTTATTGAAGTGTTGTGGTTGCAGGTTCACTTGCCACATCTAAAGCCTTTTATTTTGGGGTGTAGCTATAGGCCACCAAGTGTGAACAGTCAGTATCTAAATAATATGTGTGAAATGCTTGATAGTATATGTGATGTAAACAGAGAGGTCTACTTTCTTGGGGACCTGAATATTGACTGGTTTTCATCAAGCTGTCCGCTCAAGAGGAAGCTTCTTACTGTAACCAGTGCCTGTAATCTGGTTCAGGTTATTAATCAACCTACCAGTGTGTTTACAAACACTACAGGAACAAGATCAGCCACATTTATCGATCACATTTTGTTCTAAAGCTGTATCCGTACCCGGTGGATGCAGTGATCACAATATAGTGGTTATATCCAGGAAAGCCAAAGTTCCAACAGCTGGGCCTAAAATAGTGTGGATGATGTAAAAAAATATTTGTTGGTCTGATGTGATTAATAAGGAGCATCCAGATGCTGCACTTAATGAATTTATGAAATTGCTTCTTCCAATTATTGATTCACATGCACCTGCTAGGAAACTGACTGTTAGAACTGTTAAGGCTCCATGGATTGATCAGGAATTGAAAGACTGTATGGTTGAAAGAGATGGGGCAAAAGGAGTGGCTTATAAGTCTGGCTGCACATCTGACTGGCTGACTTACTGCAAATTGAGACATTATGTGACTAAACTCAACAAAAATAAGAAGAAACTGTATTATGAAGCCAAGATCAATTACATAAAAAACTTTGGAGTACTTTAAATGAAATGATGGGCAG